AGTGGCAGGAAGAGCTTCCTGATTTGCAGTGGCAGGACGAGCTTCCTGATTTGCAGTGGCAGGACGAGCCACGCGGCCTGTCGCTTTGTCCTGAGGTCCTTCAGGGACCTTTGCTGGCAAACTCCTGTGACCTACAGAGAAACAGCAACATCTCAATACAGAAAAATGACTGTGTCTTGTAATCCCACATAGTGTTGCACTTACCTGCTTCATCATCTGCAGTATCTTGTGCATTGTACTGAACCTCTCTGTATTCGGGTGGTTTCAGACCCTTCGCTTCCATCGCCTCCTTCAGCAAACCCTTGTAGTTTTTTCCAGACATGTTTCTGCCAAGGACCTTAGCCAGCCGGCAGAGGGCCGCTTTAGCAGCCTGCTGCTCTGCATCCTTTTTCTTGGTTGAGCCCTCTGTTCAAAAACCATAATTGTATTGCTATGTGCATAAAGAAACAAAACCATTTCTTCACCATTTCCAGAAGTGTTTCCTTGTAACCGACTGACCTTCCCCCTGAAAAGTAAAAGGTCCGGACAGCATCAGTTTGCAACATGCCCTCCCATCAGAACCAGCGGTGGTAAGTTCTGCTGGCAGCTGGAAACCGGACTTTAAGAAGTGTTGCTGAATTACACCCTTATAGGATTCACCTAAAAAGACAAGGTTTCATGTGCATTTACATACATACATACATGTGTACATACATGTGTACATACATGTTTTTTAGTTCTCTTACTCCCCATGACCCTAAATAGGACAAACGGTTACAGATGGAATTTCTTGTACTGGAAGGAGGCAAAAACCAAAAGGCAGAGTGAGATGGAAGTGATTCCTTATTTATTTACCAGCCTGAAGATCCTTGATGCTTAGTGCCCTGTAGGCAGACTCAATGGCTTGCTCCTCTGTCTCACCATGTCCTTCTACCTCAACGTTCAGATGTACAGTCACACTGCAAAAATAAGTGGTGCCTAAATAAACAGAAAAATATCCAAATAAATCTCCATACATATTTATACATATACGGCTCCATACATTTATAATATTGGATTTTTCATAAAGTGACAGACATCAGGTGACATTTTCTCATTTTGAAATTAGCATGTGTTGCTTATCTCTCCTGAAGCACTATACCTGCAGAACTTAGGACGTCCAATCGGTCAGCTGAGGGGGCGGCTGGACCCTCCTTTGACAGCTGCTCCAGCTGCTCCAGGGCCATTTTTGCTACCTCCTGATGAGCTGCTATCTTGTTGAGCTGGATTATCTTCCCCTCAAACTTGTGCCCATTAATCTCCAGCTGTCCTATATAACCTGATACACATGAAAGGGTGAGTCAGGAAGAGGCTGCTTCTCAGTCACTGCAATAAAATGATCATTAATAATAATAATAATAATAATAATAAGAAGAAGAAATAATTTGTTATTAAATGACTTTGGAAGGCAACAAGGAAGGAAATATATTTTATTAATCAACAATCAACATTTTTTTGTGAAATAGAAGGTACTCACATGCTTTTTGTTTGCTGGCTCTAAATTTCGTCAGTTTCTGACATGTCACCAAAATAACTCTACTCTGACCTCCATCATACTCCCATGTCACCCGAGTAACCCTACCCTGATCTCCCACATACTCCCGTGTCACCCGAGTAACCCTACCCTGACCTCCGTCATACTCCCATGTCACCCGAGTAACCCTTCCCTGACCTCCGTCATACTCCCATGTCACCCGAGTAATCCTACCCTGACCTCCGTCATACTCCCATGTCACCCGAGTAACCCTGCCCTGACCTCCGTCATACTCCCATGTCACCCGAGTAACCCTACCCTGACCTCCCACATACTCCCGTGTCCATGATTCTTTTTTAACACATGGCAAAAGTTTTTTTATTCTTTTCATTTGTCCTACTTTTTCTGTTAACCCCTTTCAATCCCTGCTCATATCACTCTGAACCCCTTTCCAATTAAAGATCCTGTTCCTTCTCCCATCCCTATGTGATTCTCACAAATTTAAATGTAAGTAATGAACTGGGATACCTTTTGGGTGGTATTTTTCTGAGAACTGTGGCGTTTTCCAGTTGCGCTTCCTAGCCTCTTCCAGGATATGGTTTTTATACTTCACCACTTCTGCACTTAAAACAGGTTCTACACAAAACAAGTGCTATTTAAGACCAGCTCTGTGCATATAAAACTTAATTTCAATAGTACAGAACTCATTACCAAATTATTTTGTTCAAAACACCAAATCTCTTTGGATGAAAAATGTTGTCAAATGTAGCCAAATAAGTGTTAGATTATGCATTAGAAGAGACATTTATAATTGTGCCCTGTTTCATTCATAATGATTAAAGCAGCATGTTCCATTCCTCTGTTCCAGTGGTGAGGTTTGAGGTCCAGCCTAAAGGTAAACAAGCTAAAATACCATGAACGTCCCACACACTCACCACTGGCCTTTTTTTCGAGGTTGTCAACCTTCTCAGCTAGTGTGCCGAGCTGTTGCTCATGCTCGTCTACTTTTGTTTGGATCTCATTCAGCTTCTGGACTTGTGGACCCAGCTGCTCCAGAAGGTCCTTGTTCTGTTCGAGGAACGTCCTGATTCCCTCAATCTCCCCATTCTGCAGGCACATGAAAGTACATCCAGAAATCATTAACACCAGCTGAATTTCGGCACATGGCAGAGTGTCACATGACCTTCGGCTGATTATATAGGAAACATTTCAGGGTTTCAGAAAACAAAACGCGTCGTTAATACAGCATGAAATTGACTTTCAGACCATTTACATTTCCTTGTACATTTACAGTAGTATTTAATGTTTTGCTGCCCATGAAATATCAAGCCTGCATATTGGACTTGAACTTATAATGTCTGGCCATAAGTCAAGTTTCTTATTTTTTTTTGTTCATTTGCCATTCAGTATAATCACTGACAGATTTTCTCACCTCAACTGCTTGTTTGTCTTCCTCCAGGCGGTGAGTTAAAAGCTGAAGCTTTTCCTTGAAAATGTTCTGCTCCAGGTCTTGCATATTCTGCACTCTAAACAAGGTTTGAATATTTTCCTTTAAGCTTGTAACATTGAGATTGTCGCCCTCAAGAGCGACACTCAGCTCTGTGTTCTGAAGCTAGACAAAAAAAAAAAAGGAAGATGAATCGACAAGCTTGCTGAAAACCACTCAAAAGTATGTCTTTGGTCTGCTGCTTGCAGGCAGAAGAATGAGATCGTAAAAGGTCAGTCACTCCAACCTGTTCCAGAACTTCGGTGAGCTTCTCCAGCCCTTTAGCATGTTTCTGGAGATGTCCGACAAACTGAAGGACTTTCCCAAAATGTTTCTCCATGTCCTTTTTTGGCACCTTCATGTCAGGAGAATGCATCATCTGGTTCCTCACGTTGGTGACCTTCAGTTGACAGCAGGTATTGAATGTAAGCAGGTGACTCTCTCCACTACACTGGAAGTTGTACTGTTTCCTGGTTCCCTATATATCCTGCATACTGTCAATGTGACTGTGGGATGTTTGGACAATGCAACTTTAGACATAAATATATAGACATTACCTCTGAAATAAAACGGTTGTTTCCAAATTTATTAAAATGCTTGCAAAAATTCATGAAATTAAGTACTGCTGAAATATCGAATTGCTCAGATCTGTTGTGGCTCTTGTTCCCCCTGGGCATGTAGACCTGTGAGACACAAGCAGAACTGCAATCACAAGCCAAACAAACGCTTAGTGGCTTCTGAACTGGCATCAGCATCTGTGCCAGTTCTGTAACATTTATGTTACCATTCTACCCCAAACCACATCTAAACTCCCCTCTACAGTTTTTATAA